TCATCGCCGTGCCGTGCGTGGGCAGGAGACCTTGGTTTCATCTGTTCAGGTGCTCACTGGCGTGCGCCCAAAACCCGCAAGACAATTTTTGCATGAAGTTTTTTTTTTTAAATGTTTACGGACATCTAAGCCCCTCAACGTAATGGTATGCTATTTAAATATTTTATGAAAAAGACATTTCACTCAAAATGTACGCATGTTGAACTTATTTCGCAACCGTGCTTAGCAAACCGCGGTAATCAAGCTGTGATGCTGTGACCCCTGGTGTAACGGCGAGGTCGCTGAGACTTGAGACAATCCAGAGGCCGCCGCTTTGATCTACTTGCGCGGCGGTTGGCACAGCAGTGGAGGTTTTTAAAAATCCCACTTCCTGTCCATCCAGCGGTGTGAATGGTACACCACAGCTAGTTGATTGGCAGGTCATTTGTGGAATTGTAGTGCCAAATAAGTAATATTTAAAAATACTTTTTTTTTTAAACACGCTAATTGAAATGTACAGTACAAGTAATGGCAGAACTCCACGACTCCAGGAAGTGGCCCCGAAGCTTGCTATAACGTAAGGGGAACCGTGGTGATTTACAGCCAACGTTAGTTGAGCGTGGACAATTAGACCCAAGCCGAAACATAACATATAAAAAAAATTGTTTAAAAATATATATTTTTAATGATAGAAGATAGTATTGTCATCAGTATGACATACGTATACCGAGTTTGCAGTCGATACGACATTGGGAAGTGGGTTAAAATTGAGTTACAAGATTTGAGGATACAACAGACAGAGTTGAGGATACAACAGAGTGAGTTAAATAAAAGCGTGTAATAAAAAAGCGTGTAATTAAAAAAGCGTGTAAATACTCTCTCGAGATGCTCTCCAGAGCTCGCGGGAGTGAAGGCGCGTCTGGCAACAGCGGCATGTGTAAGCAATTGCAGGGCAGCGCCTTTTACCGATTTTAACACCAGTTTATCAACACGTTCGCAATTATGCGATGCTCTCAAACGTTTCCTTTTTGCAGATAATGAACGGCAAGCGAAAAGGTATCGTGGGGTTTCGTCGGACAGAGCCACAAGCCCAGCACCAGCATCAGAAGGTACATCGTTAATGCTCGCTCACAACCAACCGCAACTCACGCCATGCACAGAAAATTAATAGAGCCTAAAAATAGCAACCCTTTTAACGAGTTTCCTCTTCCCGGAAATAATTTAGAAGCCGTGCCCGCAGAGTAGAACTATTGTCGGCAGGCATTAGCAAAGAATGGATTACGACGCTGACCCTTCGCTTGTCTGGGCTGTGAATCTTAAGAGGGCATTCCAAGTTTTGACTGTTTCAGAATTCATTCAGTGACATAGTGGCAAAATGGTCCATACATGCTGTGCTGTCAATAGGGTTTGTATAGTTTTGTTTAACACCTTTTCAAGATTGCTCCTGGCTCTTGCAGTATCAACAAATTGCCTGACATTTTCTTCGTGAGTACCCACAAATGTATAATATATTTTTGTTTTTTTCGCAAATGTTGTCTTTGGGGTTTTTGTTGTTGCTACAATTATATTGTGAGCAGTTTGATGTTCTAATTTAAAGAAAATAGCAATGAGTTGCGAAGATCAAATTTTCCATGACGAAATGATTAATTAAAAACTTGGTAAAACATTAATTCGTTATTGAGGCTAATTGACACTGTAGGTATACAGACAATGTTTAAGATGAAAATTATATTTCAAATTGATAAAAACGAAATGAGGAATTATGTTTTGCCAACACAACACAAGCCGTTTTTCATTCTGAGCTTTCAAAATATAATATTTTCCATATTTTATGTTGTGTTCCAGAGATGTAGCATAATTTTGTTTTATCAACAATAAAGCAGAAAAAAGGCAGAAAAAAGTATGACCAATTTTGGCCAAAAATGCAATCTTTATATTTTCATTTTATTTCTTTCATATTGAAGATGCATTCATTATAAAAGTTTATACCTAAACAAATGCATATATTTTTGTGACCAAAACAAGCGGAGTCTCGTTTCTCATTTAAACTAAATATAAATTTATATTTACGTACCAACTGCTCAACGTTAAAAAGTACTACAGTACTTAATATATCAAAATTTGCACCTGCAAGTTGTCATTCTCCTTTATTTTAATTGTATTAAAACATGTAAACACGTGACTTGCTACCAAAGTAACATTCCTTATATCTTTAATTTATACTGTACTAGCTTTACTACCCGGCTTCGCCCGAGACTTGGAGTCTTGTCTTAGATTAATGCACGGCCTACGCGGAGGGTGGGGGGGAGGCGCTACGTCAGCAGGCACACTGCGTGACGTTGCCGCATGCGGGTGACGTCACAGATGTGACGTCACCGCGCTCACTTGCCATGCAAAATATATCCAAAATAAAAAAGTATATTTTTATACTTTTTGCATTGTGTACAGTCTTGAAGCTACCCACATGCCAAACTTCAAGTTTGTTGCATGTTGGGAAGTATGCGAACCATTTCGAACAAACACATTCACAAATTTCCCTTTTATATATAGATTCATCATATAGCCATCATCCAACAGTAAACTGAGAAACGGCTCTACATTGTTATTATTATCAATACAATGTTCCCTACCCATTTTTTTAAGTCACTTGCAAGATGGAAATATATCACAGGATTGCAATAGATGGTGGCAGCTTTAGGGTGCCTTCATCCAAGGATTGCAGAATACACTCTTTAAAGTTGTACTTAATTTTGGTTTTCCCGCGCCTCCGATTAGCACGCTGTCGTAACTGTTAAACAAGGCTCTCGTGTCAAACTTGCGACGAATTTCAATACTGCAACAAAAACTCCCAACGCTTTTGTCAATAACACTGTGGCCTTAAATAGAAAATATATACGCGACCTTCTGGGCAATGGCCATTCTTCACAGCACACCTCTCTGGCCTGTGCTGTGAAGGGCCAATGCCTGAAACGTCACATTCTACATTTTAAATTGTTTAAGGCCACAGCGTTATTGACGAATGTGATTTTTGTTGTGCTTTTGCACCACTGCCAGTGCAGTGTCACCAAATAATGTTCAATATTGGAATCATTGCCTAGATTGCAATTCCACTCAGGGCTGTAAACATTCTACACCGCGCACTGCATTGTCGGTATGCATACCTCCCAAATGTTTGTCTCATCCGACCTTACCATACCAAGACTGTGTGTGTGCAAAGACTACGTCTCAACAAATATATTTCACGTATGTTTTGACAGCGTATAATTTTTAACTTCCTTTCGTATTGGATGGGTTACAATTGCTGAACTATTTGGTTATGCTGCTGCGGACCGAAAGGCATATGAAAAAATACACGGATTGCATGAAAACTGTTTGGTGCTATTTATCGCTCGCCGTTTCCTTACAGCCATCGTTCAATATAAGGACGCGAGTCCACTCTCTGTAATTTAACATGGCAGATTAATGATTACCCTTACACTGGGAGGGAGTACGTGTACATTTCAAGGCAGAAGAACTATTGATCTATAAGAGGCACTGCACTGTAAATCTAAATCAACAAAGGCACACAGAGAGAGGGAAAAAAATCAGGCAGCAAGGTCACGCCGTACAATTACACAAAGTCAGGTGCTCTGCAAACAGATAGGATTTATAATGCTGTAAAATGCATGGGCTTTTGTTCGTATTATTTAGCATTATGGGATGGCGGTCTAGGTGGGGGGGGGGGTCTGTGGAGACCTTTAGCCGTCCCTATAGAGGTGACCCTTTGTGACCCCAGGGTCCATGGAGATGTATGCTGCTGCTGCTTTCCCCAGCTACCCCCGGCACTTCATCCATAACCTTCAAGCAAAATAAATTATTTCGCATATATTGACATTTTGTTGTCTGGTAAAGAGCTCTGTAACAAACGGCAGAAACAGGGCCAGTATTGAACTCTGGGGGTGCAATTGTTCTTTTGCACAAACACAGGGGCGCTCAGGAATGAATTAATAATGCTGATACGAGTGGCAGTGAAGTCTTTGCTTGAGTACAACCGAGTTGTGCGTGTTTCCAATATCGTCCCAGTCCGCCGTACTTTACTATGCCTAATCTTTCGATTTAAAGCTTTCGTGACTGCAAGGATTCATCTTCTTTGGTTCTTTCGGTAAAGTCACGTAGAATGAGAATAAAATAATAAATTGATAAAATACAATAACAATACAATTCTCACGACGTTTCGGCCACAACACAAGCGGCCTTCATCAGGTGAAGGGACACAGCCAAGTTTGATAAATTTATTATTTTATTCTCATCCTACGTGACTTTACTGAAAAAACCAAAGAAGGTGTGCCTAATCTTTTTAAATTTGTGAACCATCCGCTCGTGTTTGAGAATTATTCTTTAGCATTTAATACCAGAGAGTGCTGTGAATGTAGCTGGCAATGAAAGTGAGAATGTAAGCGGAGTGACTGTCAAAGTGGTGCTCAACGCGACCGATGCTCTGTGCTGTTATTTCTGTCCAGTCGCGCTTGAGCTGGACCCTTCTCTTGATGCCTCCTCGCACCGAGTTCCGCTGATGTCCTGGAAGATGACCATCATGGAATGGGGGGAGGGGGGGGGCATGATGAGCTTCTTCCCTTGAAATGGCGACGTGGAGAACACAAGCTTTCTTGGATGCCCGGCTTTGTTTTGCGTGGTCGTGAATGCACGTTAGGAAATCAGGCCAACTTTAAAATAAAATACGCATCTAGTGAAGTTCAAATGGCCTAAGTCAATTTTGGAAGTATATGACATTTCCCGTGCCATAATTCTAAAATGTTTTCTTATGCCTGCGATTTTAGTTGACCCTTACAGTTTGTATTGTATTCGAATAATCCTAACGATACTGCTGAATACAAGCCAATACTTGTTTTGATGTTTAATTTTAAAGGTACATGTTAGCTACATATTTTAAAAGTAATCACTGTTCAATATTGTTATCTTTTAACATGAATTCAATAAAAACTGAATTTGAAATATATATTTGTTGACCAGTGTTGGATTTGAACCCTGGACCTCTTGCACTTGTGAGATTAAAAAACATGGCTGGCTCCCAGATTTACCCCTGCACTACATAGGTAGGGATGCACCAGCCTGTTCCGTGAACTTGTATTTAAAGATATGTGAACAAGTGACATCTGAAAATAAAAAAACAAAAAAAACAGGGCTGCGCCCCACCAACAAAATCCCCGCGGCCGTGGCAACCATTTTACCTCCCAACTCTGCAGTTGTTTGGTAAAATGGCCACCAAGCCACGAAGTTCTGCCACTGCCAACCTCGGCAAACAGATGTGTGCTATTATAAACTATACTCATGGCTTGCTTTGGGTAGCAGACCCATGTGCTGTCTTTGGCCATAATTCTCCACAACCTGCAAAGGACAGAAAGGTAGTAATAGCAATTATTAATTATTACATAAGCAGAATTCTGTTATGACTCCATACAGATATACAAATATGTTTTAGTCCTTCAGCCTAATTTACTTTTCAGGCTAATATCATCAAGCAGCATTTGTTTAAGCATCCTTGCCAGAGTTAGATGTTATTGGCAAGATCACTCGATTGAAATTTAGAGGGCCCTGTTCAACACAAAGCTATATCAATTTGAGTCGTGCAATCATTAGGTCTTCTCAACAGTGCAGCACAATGAAAGCAGCAAGAGAAAAAAACACAACACTGCTATACATCATAGGACCTTCTTTGCCAGTACCAAAATATGAGAATAGGTTTTCTCCTTTTTTCTGGCAACAAAACAGGTGTTAAGATGTTAAAACACCAAACTGAAACCTTTTACAAGGAATCATGTCTGCATTAACCACAATACTTGTGGTCAGAATGCAAACAAAAAACATACATTATGAGACCTCCTTTGCCAGTAACAAGATATAGTAATAGGTTTTACCCTTTTAACTGGCACAAAAACTGACACCTTTATTCAAGGCATCATGTTTGCAATAACCACAACACAAGCAGTCAAAATGCAAACAAAAGAGACAACTCTGATAATAATATGCACTGTCCTTGAATTTGATTGGTCCACACTCGAGACAGCTTTTCTTAGAGCCTAGTCTCCACTGGTGTTGGACCAGAAGACGCCAAAAGGCGTACAACTCAAAAACAGCGCACTATCAGAGTATTGAGGGCTCGGGGTGAGCATTTACATTATGAGACCTCCTTTGCCAGTAACAAGATATAGTAATAGGTTTTACCCTTTTAACTGGCACAAAACTGATACCTTTATACAAGGGATCATGTTTGCAATAACCACAACACAAGTAGTCAAAATGCAAACAAAAAAGACAACTCTGATAATATGCACTGTCCTTGAATTTGATTGGTCCACACCCGAGACGGCTTTTCTTAGAGCCTAGTCTCCACTGGTGTTGGACCAGAAGACGCCAAAAGGCGTACAACGCCTTTTGGTACAACGCCTTTTGGCGTCTTCTGGTCCAACACCAGTGGAGACTCAGTGGAGACTGGGCTCTAAGAAAAGCCGTCTCGGGTGTGGACCAATCAAATTCAAGGACAGTGCATATTATCAGAGTTGTCTTTTTTGTTTGCATTTTGACTACTTGTGGTTATTATAACGTCAACAATCTTCTACTAAATTAAGTCTTGAAATAATTTTTTTTTAAATGACATGAAAAAAATTGCAGAGTAAAATTAAGTAAACAATACTGTAGCTTACAATAATGCAAAAAACAGTTGTTATTTGTATGTATGTTGAACTTCTTTCGCACCATGTGTAGCCAGCCATGCTAATCCGAGAAGCTTACTTGGTTCATGAAGGTTCAACGTCTTCCAGCTGGCGAAAGCGCTTCTGCAGGGCAGCCCAACCAAGTAGCGTATAGCATTTTCTCCCTAAGAAACCACATGAAAACAAGTTAGGAATAATCATGCGTTACTCGCGAATTATGTAACATTATTTGGTTAAAATTCTTTGGCAGTGTTGCACAAGCACAAATAATAAACTCAACACATTTGTCAATAACACTGCTTTAAAAAGAAGAGTTTCTTTTTGAGTTTTCGTGAAATATCCAGTGCATTCCAATGCACTGATCAATTTGGCCTGGTTTAAATGGGGTACGTCCTTCATGGCAACACAACTTTATATAACAGTTGAGATCATTGTGAACAGTGTTATTACCCCACCCCTTCCCCCGTTACGGATGAACAGGGCTAAGCATAAATTACGTTTTCTTTGCTTGTAAAACGTGAACAAAACATCCATATGCACACAAAGGGCACATCACAACTTCAAAACAGTCACAAGTGATGGCAAATCTGATCGGAAGTATGCTCAGTTGTCTTCTATTGCAGCTTTCTATGTGACCGTAACTGCCACCACTGTCGACAGTCTTGGACTGTGGCTGTGCTTGTAAAAGAGCTGCTTAGCTCAATGGGACATACAGTGAGGGAAAAAAGTATTTGATCCCCTGCTGATTTTGTACGTTTGCCCACTGACAAAGACATGTTCAGTCGATAATTATATTGGTAGGTTGATTTGAACAGTGAGAGAGAATAACAACAAAAATCCAGAAAAACGCATGTCAAAAATATTATAAATTGATTTGCATTTTAATGAGGGAAATAAGTATTTGACCCCCTCTCAATCAGAAAGATTTCTGGCTTCCAGGTTTCTTTTATACAGGTAACGAGCTGAGATTAGGAGCACACTCTTAAAGGGAGTGCTCCTAATCTCAGCTTGTTACCTGTGTTGAGGAGTAGAGGGGTGACGGAATGTCACACTCGCCTCGGGAGGAGTGACGTCATGTCCCCTCGGGGTATTTGAGGGAGGACCCGTGACGTGTTGGGGGTCTTCGCAAGGAGCCGGGGTCGTGAGCGGTAGGGAAGTGGGAACCGAGGGTAGGGGGGCTACTTGACCCGGCTGGCCGAGTTGGTCAGCGCTGTGGGGAGAGCCCGTTAGCCTGGGGGGGTGTAGGGGTTCCCAGTACCTATCCCCTGGGGAGATTTAACTTAACCACAAAGTCCTGTGTTAGCCTTTCCCCAAAAGCTAGGCGACAGCCCTTAATAAACTGTTGGCATCAGCCCCGACAACGTCTGCCCTCCGTGTCGTCATTTACACCATAACAACTGGTGTCAGAAGTGGCTTCCATGCTCGCAACCATGTCCAAATCTGGCGCGAGACGGAAGACCGCGCCTGGTGTACCGGCACACGAAGAGGAAGACGGTGACGCGGCCCTGGCGAAAATCCCGGAGGTCGGGGCCCCGGATACGTGCCCCGTGGAGGTGGCCCGGCTGGAGCCGGGGGAGGCGGCAGCTGGGGGAGCTGCGGCGCCGCCAGCCGACGTGTGGCGCGGCGTAGCTGCCCAGCTGGAGCTGCTCCAGCAGTCGGTGGCACAGCTCACCACCGCGCTGCTCGAGGTGGGGGTGCGCACACACGCGGGGGGCGATGGGGGGCACGGCCGTCACGACGTTGCCGAGGCCGCGCTTCCCGCCGAACTCCCGGTTGGCGCCAATTCACCAACCGCCGCACCGGGACAGGGCGCCGCCATTTTTTCTGCGACGCCGCCGGCGGGCGCCATTTTGCCTGCGACGCCGCCGGCGGCCGCCATTGATTACGCGACGCCACAGGTGTCATGGCGGCGCCCATACACGCTGCCGCTCCGCACGTCACCGCCGATGGCGCTGCGGACTCGCTGCGAGCCGGGGCGGCGGGGGAAGCGGCGGGGGAGGCGGCAGTGGCGGGGCGGGGGGCGATATGCCTGCAGCCTGCCGAGGCCCCGGGTCCGGGCGAGGCAGCTGCGGCCGACGCGACACCAGCGATCGCTGCTGTGGGTGAGTATGGGCCGGGGGATGGGTCGGCTCACCTTCGGCTGAGACGGCTGCCCCCTGTGGCGCCGTTCGTGTCCACGAAGGGGGGACTGGCTGGATTTCCAGGCCAGGTTTGATGCGGCCTGTCGGTCCGTGCGCTGGCCGGAAGAGGAGGCACTGCTCGCACTGCCCACATGCTTGGACGCTAGGGCACTGCACACCTTTTTGAACATCCCACCGGCAGCGAAGGCGACGCTACAGTCGGCCTACCAGCAGATGGCTGAGGTGTTCGAGCCACCAGACGAAGCACGCCTCAAGTTCACCGCGCACCGCAGGGAGGAGGGGGAATCGCCTCTTGCGTTCCGCTGCTCCCTCCTTGCATTGGCTCGGGCTGCATATCCCGACGTGGGAGGGACTGCGCTGGACTCCCTGGTCCTGGAGAGGCTGCTGGTCCTCGCAGGGGAGCTGGGGATTGTGATGTCCATCGGGGCAGGGGCCAAGGCCACTTCACTGACCGTCGCGCAAAATATTCAAGCCCATCTTGCACTGCGTCGGCCTCCAGCGATGGTGGCGTGCGTGGGTGCCCCAGCGCCGCCAGCGGTGGCGCCGCCCAGCGGGGAGGACGCCCTAGTGGCCGCGGCGGCCTATGACCACCGCGGGGATGGTAGGTATGCTCGCCGGCCAAGGGGGCCGGGGCGGGCAGGACCTCACCGTTCGCAGGCCCGGGGGCGGGCCACCTGCTTTCGTTGTGGCCAGGTGGGCCACTTTGAGAGGGGGTGCAACAACGAGCCCGGGGCCTTCTCCAAGGCCTCTCCTCCTGCGGGCGTCCCTCCAGCAGCGGAGCCTCCCGGGCAACAGGGAAGTCGCGACGCATCCATCGCACGGCCGCTCTCTCCACCTCAGGCATCTCGTAGGGTTATGGTCCATCTTCATGGGCCCATCTCTGGGGGGTCCGGTTCGGGGCACACGGGGGTGCGCTCGACGATCGGGTGGCCCAGAGGGACTCGCCAGTGGCGGGCCCTCACGCGTCGCGAGGTGGCCGCCGCTGTCGGGTCCTCGGCCGTGGTGGGGCGTGTGCAGGGGGTAGACGTGAGGATCCTGGTGGATACGGGGGCGTCCGCCACCATTGTGTCCGAGGCCGTTTTCCGGTCGCTGCCGCACAGTGTGGGGCCGTTGCGGCCGGTTCGCGGGGCGTGCGTGGCTGCCAACGGGAGTAGCCTCGGTATTTTGGGTCATGTCGTCGCGTCTGTGGCGATCGGGGAGATCGTGTTGCGGGGACCTGTGTTGGTCTCTAGGACTCTGGCCGTACCGTGCCTATTAGGCATCGATTTTTTGGCCAGAATGCCCGTTCGGATCCTGGTCGACCAGGGGTGTGTGGAGATGCCGTTGGGAGACCGGCTACATTTCCTGCAGTCCCCCTCAGTCGTAGCTCCCCTGGCCGCCAGTGTACGGGCTATGACCACAAAATCCGTGACGGTTCCCCCTGGGTCGCAGATCCTGCTTCCCCTCAGGCTGCGCAGGCCGTTGACGTTGCAGTCCCCGGAGGCAGGCATCCTCCTGTCGCCTTCCAATTATTTTGCGAGATTCAACGGGCTGGTGGGCGCTTTCACAGCCGTGGCTGCGGGCCAGGAACTTTTTTTGCAGGTCCTAAATTCGGGGCCCGCGCCGATCGCCGTCCCTGTTGGTGCTGTGTTGGCGCATGTCACCCCAGGCCCTCCTCCTGGCATCCTTGAGCCGCCGGGAGGGGTGGTGGCGGGAGTACTGCCCGTGGGGGGGGGGGGCCGACGCATCATGGATTGATGCGTTGTGCATTGAGAACGCCTCGTTGTCCTCCCAGGAGCGCCAGCGGCTCCGCAATCTCATCGTCAGATTCGCCAATGTGTTCAGCCAGAGCAAATTCGATTTGGGCCGTATCACTCTCCTGGAACATCATATCGACACGGGCGACTCGGCTCCTATTAGACTGAATTCACACCGTTTTAGCCCAGCAGAAAAGGATAATGTCCACTCCGCAGTTAATGACATGTTGGCGGCAGACATTATCTCCCTTCCACTAGCCCTTGGGGAGCCCCCATCGTGCTAGTCAAGAAACGGGACGGGAGTCTCCGCTTCTGCGTCGACTTCCGTAAATTAAACAAGATTTCAGTGGCCGATGCATATCCCTTGCCTCGCATGGACGATTCCTCGGCGCCCTCTCGGGTGCGCGGTTCTTCTCGACCCTCGATTTGCTTTCGGGCTTTTGGCAGTTACCATTGGATGAGGCCTCCAGGCCAAAGACCGCGTTCCGCACACCCCAGGGGCTGTTCCAATTCAATCGGCTCCCTATGGGTCTTCATTCGGCCCCGGCCACCTTTCAGCGCCTCATGGAATTGGTCTTGGCGGGGCTGCAGTGGGAGTCGTGTTTGATTTACTTGGACGACGTTATCGTTTTTGGACGTACGTTTGACGAACACTTGCAGCGGTTGGAGGCGGTGTTCGCCAAAGTGCGCACTGCGGGCTTAAAATTCAAACCTCAGAAGTGCCACCTGCTGCAACCATCGGTGAAGTATTTGGGCCACATTGTTAGCGCGTCAGGTGTGGCCACGGATCCGGAAAAGACTGCTTGTGTCCGGACGTGGCCGACTCCTACATCTGTCGCTGAGGTGCATAGCTTTGTGGGCTTCGCATCGTACTATCGCCGGTTCGTCCACGATTTTGCGACTATTGTGAAGCCACTACATGCACTCTCCGTCAAGGGACAGAAATTTCACTGGGGGAAGGAGGAGGAGGCCGCTTTTGCGGCGCTTCGCACGGCCTTAGCAGATGCGCCGCCCTTGGGGTACCCGGATTTCTCCCGGCCGTTCCTCCTCAACACCGACGCCAGTGACACGGGCATTGGGGCCGTCCTGGCTCAGGTTGTCGATGGGGTAGAGCGGGTGGTGGCCTACGGTAGCCGTGTTTTGTCCCCCACTGAGCAGCGGTACTGTGTGACCAGGAGGGAGCTGCTGGCCATTGTTTTCTTCGTCCAATTGTACAGGCCATATCTGTATGGTCGCTGGTTTACCATCCGGACCGATCATGCAGCCCTGCAATATTCCCTCCGAATT